CGCTTTTTAAATGGAAAGATGTAGACGCAAGTGCTACGGAAGCGATACGGAAGTGCTACGGAAACGCTACGCAAATGCTACGGTAATGGTACGGAAGTACTACGGAAATGCTACGCAAGTGATACGCAAGTGATACGCAAGTGCTACGATACGCAAACGCTACGGAAATGCTACGCAAATGGTACACTGAAAGTGGAACAGCGAACGTGTACGGGGTCTGTATAAGCTACTACATATGACTAGTATGATATTTGCCTCCCCTATAGTCATATATATAGCTACCATAACGCATATATCATGCTCTTTGCTCTATAGTACTAGCTACTCCAGGACACTGTAGCACAATCACTGTCTCATCTATAGTATATACATGTATCTACATGTACCTTAGGGGACTGTAACACGATCGTTGCCTCCAATGTAGTATACAGCTACCAGAGAGGTCTGCAGCACGATCTTTGCCTCCCCTAGAGTATATAGCTACCACAGTGGACTGTAGCAAGGTCCTTGCCTCCCTTAAAGTATATAGCTACCACAGGGGACTGTATCACGATCATTGCCTCCCGTAGAGTATATAACTACCACAGGGGACTGTATCACGATCATTGCCTCCCCTACCACAGTGGACTGTAGCAAGGTCCTTGCCTCCCTTATAGTATATAGCTACCACAGGGGACTGTATCACGATCCCTGTCGCCTCTATGGTATATAGCTACCACAATCGGCAGTAGTACGATCCTTGTCGCCTCTAGAGTATATAGCTACCACAGGGGGCAGTAGAACGATCCTTGTCGCCTCTATAGTATATAGCTACCTCAGGGGGCAGTAGTACGATCCTTGTCGCCTCTAGAGTATATAGCTACCACAGGGGGCAGTAGTACGATCCCTGTCGCCTCTATAGTATATAGCTACCACAGGGGGCAGTAGTACGATCCTTGTCGCCTCTATAGTATATAGCTACCACAGGTGGCAGTAGCACGGAATTGTCGCCTCTATAGTATGTAGCTACCACAGGGGGCAGTAGCACGGAATTGTTTTCACATCTAATGACGGACAATTGGGGAAAATAATGATCGTTTCTTTAGGATCGTACATATCTTCCAGGTGCAGTCAAAAAAGAAAGATGTACAATGATAGAATACGAAAGAACAACAAAATTATAAAAAGAAAGTATTTCTAACATAAAAGAAATAGCAGCGATGTTTATATATTGATTTTTGAAAAGTTCCACTGCCTTTGATAATTTTATATTTTGGGGCAGTGCCCGAACGTTGATTTTGTTGTAAACAGTTCGGAGTTGGGACGACAAATCAATAATAGATGATCGAGAGTTGTGGTCATGAGTCATTTTACATTACTTCCTTTTGAGAAATTACGGAGTAAGGTTATTTAATGTTCTTTACATGGTAAGCGTCTCCTGCTTCCATCAACGACATCCGCCATAAAAATCTAGGTCCAATCACATGTATCTGCTTCTAAAATGTGTACATGTAAATGTATTTACTATATCTTCCCTGTTTTCGGGATAAATATCTATGGTCAAAGTAATGTCATGTGAGATAAGGCAAAGTAATGAGAACTTAAAAAAAAAACCGTTGATATCCTTATTGCACAAAAAAATATTATAAGTTCCGATAGCCTTAATCTTGACAATTGCTAAAAACTACATTATAAATAAATTCCCTTTATTGTGGGGAAACAGGATTTTTTGTTTCTCTTCGATTGATCGTGATTCTCGAGGATTTTCGGAATCTAAGTGCACTGTCATCGACGACCATTTCCGTCAGAGCAAATGCTGTACTAAAAGTTATATCTTGGTTGACATGTAGAGCCCAAAATATCAATATGCGGGAAATAAAATGCCTAAAACATTGCAGCAACATGCACTCTAGTCCGTGTATTCCGAAACAAAAGATTGTTTTCTAAAATATAAACACAACTTATATATATCATCATAAAACCAATATCTATGCGAAGTTGCATGCTTATCCCATAATACTTTTTATGTACAATCAGTGCATAAACATTGGAAATAGGCACAATTATTGATAAAACAATGAAATGGGTTAACTTGAACGAATGAAACAGTTACTTTTCTTGAAGCTAGGAGATTTGGAATTACCTGTAAAGCAATCTTCGTATATTAAACTAATCATTTTACTGTAGTTGTGTTGGCAAATGGCATTTTGTATTTGTAAGCTAACTTTGATAAGTAAGAAAACATATCAGGACCTGAAACTCACTTCAGCCACAGGTGCTGAACACATATTACATGATATATATGATATACAATATCAACAATTACTGTCATATATTTATAGCATATAAAGGGCGTCCTGCACCTTTGAATTCACTTAAGATAGAGAGGTGTTTGAAATTGCAAAGTTTGAAATGTGTCCAGAAGCCATAACTCAGTATAAAACACAAGGAAAATGTGTAGAGTATATATATTTTATATACATGTAAGTGTACTCAAATGAGTAAAGTTGTGTAAATTTCAACTCAAACTATAGATTAGAAAGAAAATAATTGAGAAAACAAAACCCTTTTCACTTAAAAATTACCTAATACAACCCCCTGAATTAATCCTTCGTTTTATATAAACGATCTTTATGTGACAATTGAACTTCTGTGATTTTCATTCATTTATATATGCCAGTATGGTTTACACATGTTTTAAAAACAGTAATGGGGAGTTTTTGGACTTTAAGCTCATTTTGAAAACAGTAAATTATATTTGTGATTTAACCTACCCCTTCTGGTACCCCCTAAAACTAACTTCTGTCAAACATTTACCTTAGTTTTTGCGCATGTAATACAATGAGTCATCTTTAAACAAATTCAGGAGGGCAAAATCCGAATATATCGTGGCCAAAAAAAAGGTCCTTAAAGACACTCATCCTTTATTAATGACAAACATTGAAAGATGTACAATACAAGCTGTTCGATTACGAAACAGCTCGCCTTTTTGAAAAGTTTTTAAATAAACAGGTTAAATTTCAAAATAGTTAAAAAAGATTTTGATCTTACAAAGTTTTGATTTCTACACATCACTGCCTGACCTCTCAGGATCTTCCATACCAAATATCATCCTCCTCGCAGACATTGTCTTTATATAGTGAATTGTAACATATACACCCAGATTTTAATCCGGTGACCATTGCAGCAAATTCTCAAAAAGGCAAATTTGCCTCTGTGCTTCAAGCTAAATTTCACAATCTCAGTAGAATTTGTGAATATTTATTACAGATAATTTCAACAACAAATAATAGCTTGAAATGCTGACATAATATGTCACAAAAGGAACATTAAGATAGGTTTCTCTGTCATTTTTACTACATCAATATTCGACCCCTCGGGTTCACCGTGTCGAATATCAGCATATATTGTTTTATTACAAATATTGCATAAGTGATGAATTTAATTATAAAGAAATTCAGAGCTTATGCAAAAAACATCTAACATGGAAATTTTGAAAAAAATATTAATTTCGAAATAGGTCAAAAACTTAAAATATGTTCTATTTTGACTTATATGCATCTTTGCTAGAACCCCTAATATACCTTTGTACGAGGTATCAACATCCCATAATTACTTAAATCACATTTATAAATTTCATCCAACGCACAAAAATCTTTAACTTTGATGTTTTGGCAACGCCTTAAGTCGGAGAACAGGTCATTTGTATTTGGGGACATCACTGTAACAATATTGGACCTCTAAAGTAATTCATACGAATTTTTCTAAATGCCTGCAGAAATGCTGCATCACTACGACCAAAACTTTAACCTGCTACTGTTGGTGTCTATAGTTAAGTTCAAAACATGTTAAAACTTGAAAAAATAGGATGTCCAACATTTTCCGAGGTTTTCGTTAAGGAGACACATTTCACTTATTCCAATTCAAATATCAGCTTTACTGGACCGGACAAAAACAAACACAATATTTGTTTTAAGTTACTGTAATTCAAGACTTTTCTACAGTTTTTGATTTTTAAATGTATTACATCTAAGTAAATTTGCTGTTGTTTTCTCATGGCAATTATTGTAAATTTTCAGTCTACCTGAGAAAGCAATACTTGATGCTATGATTCCCATAGGTACTACCAAAGTTGTCTTTGAAGGATATTGTACATACTACCTATATAACCATAACAATAGATGTTCTTCTCGCATGAGTATGCTTATATTGAAATATGCCGACGTTTGAAAACGGTATTCAACAATAAGACCTACTAGAACTAAGAAAACATTTTTTGGGATTGAAAAGCATTTAAATTACAGGAAGATAAGTCAAGGGCCATAGAGGTATAGATAAAATAAAATAAAAGTATAAGCAGACCTAACTCATCACTCACATGTTTACTGGTGACACATTAGGTCGTTTTCATTTAAATGCAGCAAGTCAAACAAAGAAAGTGTTTTACTGTATCATACAGCGTATAACTAGCTCGTTCGTTTATAACTACGTGGTCCGGGGGGTGGGGGATTAACAGATGCTGAACAACCTTAATATAATCAGATTGAGGTTGGTTTAAAAATAACACCAAAGCAAAGTCAGTAATAGTTATTCTTATGTAGACTATTTGTAAATTGTACCAAATGAAAATAGTTTCTATGTACATTGTCTAAGTCACGTGATAATAAACTAATTACGATTTATCTCAACCAGAAAGTGATGTCAGAATTGCAAAATGTGCTTAGTCCTAGTACCCTAGTTATTTGGTAGGTCTGATGTATCATTGATGTTGACGTTATTACAATGTAAAATCACAAAGTTCTTAAAATTAAATACAGGTACTAGAGTGTATAATACATGTACTAATCTATGTTAAAGGTATCAACATACGTCAAGTAAAGATTAAATGGAAGTTGTTTCTTTTGTTGCAAGGATATAAGAATATTTTATGACACCTTTACAGTATAATGCACGTGTTTGTTTTATGTTGCAGGGGAGAAAACTCTCGCTAAATCTTTCCAAGAACACAACAAAGCCAGCTAGATGAATTATTGTTTTAATACACACAGTCAAATACAATTTTCCGTAAAAGTAGTTTACAAATGAGACCAAGAGAAGACAACACAGAAAATGATATAAGACATTGTTGATGATGGTGTTCAGTCATGCGTACAAAAACTGTGAAACGTCTACCAATACTACCTGTATTTACATCTGGAACATATAAGTCATTATTACATTACACAAATATACATATATCATTCCAAGATTTATATATTGGCTTCTATTAATGAATGCAAAATTAACGTATTTCGTTTGATGTCAAAGCAAAACAAATAAAATAATAAAACATTTATCATTGATAAGGTTGAAAAATATTCAGTAATTTAAAAAAATATGCCCAACATATTCATGTATACAATATTCATTCTCTGGAAGACAACACGCTAATGAGTGGCTAAATTTAACATATTTGTTTTATGTTCTTACGAATAATAGAAACAGTAAAAGATGATGTTTCTATTTCTATTTATTTATTTTACAAATATTTAACACACGAAACACAATGTAGCTATGTGTCGAACGATTTAGATTCACACTGGAGAAAACAAATTCTAGCCTGTGTTGCATTCATCTTTATCTAATATCCATATGTGATGTCGGTACATTTTACGTGTATGCTTTTGTCTGCAATGGCTATTTTCCAATTCGAAATTGACACATGAAATTGACACAAATCTAGGTACAATTACACAGACGCTTAGGTAAATAATGAGAAACAACCAATCAAAGAAGGATACGATAACATTTGTACACATAATAGCTATCACATGAAAGCTTTAAGCCTGTTATATAATAACAACACATCTGCTTATTTAACAATTATATCTAAACCCATAACCAACACGTATACTGCCAATCACTCAGTGTTACCACCACCAACATTTCAGGATTTTACGTCCTTAATTTTTATTTGTATCATACATAGTAAAAAACGGATGTTTCACTAACAACTAAGTATTATCAAATGTACTTTTTATTTTTAAGCTGTTCTAAAAAACAACCTCTTTAAATTTTTTTACCTCTTATTTGAACGTATGTTAAGTCTTTAAACGAAACTTAATTTATAACGCGTTTGATTTTGAAATCATGACATTTTTTACGGATTTTAGAAGACATTACTAAAAAAATCGATTGCAGTTTTAGTTATTTTGTAAAGACGAACGTATATACCACCTTTATTAACTAATAACTAATGCCCCAATATTAATAAACAAAACTGTTAAATCATATCGATCACTGGACCTGCAAACCTACGTGACCAGTACAACGAACAGACTGTTAACGTCACTTGTCAGCAACATTGCATATACGATACATACATGAAATCTAATCGAACAAATCAAGTTACAAATAATTTGCTACTTCGTCAACATTACCATTAACATACATATGAATGTGCAGTACAAAAATATCCTCCGCTGGCGAGGTCCAAGCAAGCTTAACCGGTTCACACATCCTAGGCGTTCGATGGTGATGTCACTTCGAAAACCTTTTACCATCAAATCTCACACGTTTATCTTAATATCGTGATAATTTCACCCAAATCTGAAATCACGTTTTCACTACACATCCATCACAATCACGTGATCACAACAGGTAAATAGTGGACTTTGTGAACTACGTTATGAGATGTGGGGCGGAGAAAAGGACTCCCATGGTGGAAGCAAGCGTGAACATGACACAGATCCACAAGCACAACCGGTCTATTACCATGGCGGCGAATCGCCACTCGCCTCTCATCTCTGTATCCTCCTCCTCTCGCTTACAGCGGAGCGTAATCTTTCTTAACTCCTTCAGAATGGAGATCAGTTCGCTACGATGAGAGTTAATCAACGTGGTTTCTTCTCGTTTCACGGCTGAGTTTCCGGAATATGACCCATTCTCATATCGTATATCATCATCCGTCTCTATGACGTTTGGAAGCAAACTGCGTGACTGCCGATCCTGCAGCACAACATCACGCAGTCTTGACCTTTGAACCATGTCTCTATGATTGTCTTTCGGATCTCTAGTCTGTCTTTTCATTTGAAGACCTGATGCAAGCCACCCGTTTATATATTTCCTCACCTGTACATATAAATAAAACCATCAATGAAGGACTTTGTTTAAGGTGAATAAGTGGTTATATAAGCCTGAAAATGTAATATTGAGTGAAAAGAAGTCGGGGACAAATACCTTTCTATGTCCACAAAACCACATATTCACAAAAATGAAAGTTCCCTGAATTCTTATATTAGTTATCTAAATTGATTTTTTTAACATTTTTTTTTCTCTCCTAATATCTATGACGGGATACTGAATAACTTTTTAAGTATCCGACGCATCATACTTTGACATGCCATATTGGTTTACACGTACCTATTTACTGTTTAAAGTCGAAGGAACAACGACTTCAGCAAATTGTACGGTTTATTAGCAACTGATTGAATGGTAAATTGGGCATATAGCTTTACCTTTTACATTAGCAACTATGAAATCATTGCTTTCTGTTTATCTTTTATCCAATATATCTATAACTTGATCTTGAAATATTATCAATAAATCCCTTACTGTGACCGGAAGTATCACAAATCTATAAATACGTCGACTTACCCAGTCCGGAAGTCGATGAGTATCAGGTCCGCGGTAATGGAAATTGAGCACAATTACTGTAAACATGACGGACAGCGAGCACATCACCATAATACAACAAAAATAAATACCTGTAAATCAAACAGATATGATTATGAGTTATGTATAAAGATTAATGAGCTAGTGTCAAACACACAATTATAAATGAGCACAGTTGCTCGAGAAGCAAATACTTTTTTTATCAAAAACATTTCAGCTTGCACTTATTTCATTCTCATGCACAAACATGGATTCTGTTCAAACCAGCTTTCTTGTAAATCACTTAAATTGTGTAAAACAATCAAAACGGTCAAATGAAAATATTGAAAACAGTATTCGGATTTATGTGTCTTCAATATTTTACCAAATCATTGAAGAAATGCTGATTTCATTCATTTATAATAGAAACAGGAAATAAGGATGGAACACCAAAACCCTGCTTAAGCATGAGAAGGGTTTCTTTAATACGGCCCCTGCTGTATCCCATTAAATGATCAGATGCGGCGACTACATGTAATTCGGGCATCCAGCAGATTAGAGGTATTTCCATCGTTCTCTGCTGGGATTTCATTGAACGATTCATATGACCTGTTCGTTCTCACCAATCAAGGGTACTGCGTCCGAGGTCGGGGGCATGGTCTCTGCCACAAGTAACAGGAACACCATCAGGGACAACAGGATCGTCACACCTGGACAACAACGAAAGCAGGTTAAAAATTTGAAAGACGAAGACATTGTGAGATTAAATATGGCTTTATGATTATGATGGAGATGAAACCTAACTTGGTAACATGAATTTAGTATACATGAATTTAGGACAAGCAAGGAAACAGCAAACAGGGAAGTGGACATTGTCCATGTCTACCCTTTCATTTAAAATTCATTTAGCAGACTTCTTGCACATAACCCCTCTCACCTCTAACACCCTGTTGGCAATATATTATTTTGTTCTCGTTTTATAATTAAACTACCACGTAATTTTGTCCCTTCTTATTGATAAGAGCGAAGCTCACGGGTGCCGTAGGCACCCGAGCGGAGCTCTTTACCGGTAACATGTGCGTGTAAATAGATCTGATCCAAACTTCCATCACTAAATCGTACAGCTACAGCCTAGAAACTTTTCGTACTTCCGGTGACCTGTTCCGGTTCATGGAGCCCGTAAATATGCCTAATCGAATAAAAAAGCGACATGTAACGTAGCAGGAAAATTATGTATTCGAACCAACGAATTTAAAAAAAAATATTGACCATATTCAATACACTGGGCGTGTTTATTTCCTCGATTTCTTTCCTTTTGTAACGAAAAGATAAATCATCGGCATGGTCATTAAAAAGCTTACATGAATGTCACAAGCTAATGGCGTCGAAGAGTGCGTAAGAATGTGATTAGATGACAAACTGTATTACCGTCGATTAAATTAGCTTAGATTTTGGAAAGAAATACATAATTTGATACTGACAACTTTCTAAACATACACATTTTCCATCTAAATATTGATAATCGATCGTAACACACGAGGGTCATTCCCACTAGGACGGAAATACCCGAGTATGTACGAAGCAGGGTCAATGACGAGGTCGCTTGGTTCATTGACGAGGTCAAAGTTCACGGGTCGTCTGCTATTGTCACCGACAGCTTTCCAAGGGAAAACGTAAGGTGTTTCAAAGGGTCAAATTTCGGAATTTTCAGTATTACTACTCTTGTTTTTTTCTGCATTTATTGTAGAACGTCAACTGTATATTCAGTTCTTATTAATTCTTCTATTTGGGGATCGTTTCTGTTGATATTTAATTTGATCCAAATTTGTGATATTACCTTACAGTAGATTTTACAACTAAAACTGTTGAATTTCAATGCTAGATCTGCTTGTACAAAATATTCATTATTGAATCTAGTTTCATCTAATGCAACCAAATTAACAATCACTTAAAAAGACAAACATTATCTGTACAGTTTTGTACAGTAAAATATCTTTATTGATACTTAGATAAATATAAACTTTAAACGCTTGACAATTTTTACTTCCGTTCAACTGTGTAAATCATTACAGCATTTTGATTAGACATTGAAGTGAACACATTAGTTTGCTCTGCTTTATGAATATCAGTAAAGAAGAGAATTAAAAACATTATATTTTCACCACTTTTATTTTTGTTAACAGATTGCATAATATGCGACTGTCAGCAACCATTTCTAATCAAAATCAAAACTATTCTGCATATGATGTACCTGGTGATTATTTTTATTCAACCACATTTAACACCAATATTGACTCAAGAACAACAAGTCCATCATGAAACTGACATCAATGCCATCAACACAATCATCACTGAAACTTCACTTGCAAAGAAATGGTTTTAGCTGATATGCCAATCTACCTATAGGTATCTACAAAAAAAATTATGACAACAGCGACGATGAGGAGGAGGAATCTCCTGCTGTAGATACCTGGAATTTTAACGTAAATAATCAGTACAAACATTAAGTTTCATCATTTCACATGGATTATCTGAATTATTAAAAGGAAAATCTAAAATCTCCATTTTCTACTTATAGTGGTGGGAGACGTGACAGTCTCTAACCTGCTGTGTCTAACATGCTAAATATATTTAAATCAAAAACAGATACATCCTTCATGGATTGGCATATCAGCTCAAACCATTTGTTTAAACATTCTGCCTACAACACACGATATCATTTTTATTCTATGTTTTTTTTTCAAATGGTAGAATCTATTTGTTTCTTTTGGATAAAAATAATAATACATATTATTATGAACATACACGAGTAGAGGGAGGGGGTATATACTGGTAGTCTTGGATAAATCAAGAACCAAATAATTATTCTATTAATATCAATGTGGTCTAGTAGTACTGTAGTAACAATCAGTCAACTTCAAACTAATATGTGATGCGTCATATTGGTGTAGTGTGAATGTGGATCATTCTAAAACAGAGCACACATAAGTACAAGGATGAATGATTTTGCCCAGCAACAGATTCAAGTATATAATAAAAAAAACAATTATAGGTACATTTTGTATGTATTAAAATGGGTATTAAATGTTATGATTCCAAAATTATACTATACTATTGAAACAAATGTACGAGCTTCGCTCTCTCCAGGCCATGCCTGAGTCATATTATCAAAACATTGCTGAATTGATACGTAATCAGCAAATTGCTTAAAAAATCAACAAAATGTACAAATAACAATCAATTTAACCTTCCGTTAAAGAGCGAATATTTTATGTTTTGTATATAAATACATCCATAGAGCGACAAGCTGTAAAAGTTAGAAAAAAACACATATACCACCAACTTGACACCGTCTGGATATACATAAACAGTAACAAGTGTTAAAGTTAAAGTGTTAGTAAGACGTACAAATAAGACTGGGACAGCAACTAATGGGGATGTATAAGCCGAGTAAAGCATGATGAGCGACATCACGGAGTTAGTAGTGTACGACACACACAACATCGCATTAGTAGTGGGCGGAACCGGAACCAAACAGAAAGTGATCGCCTAGCCTCGTTATGAGTTGTATGAATCGCTTGAATGAAAATTTGAAACTGGGAAAACTTAATGTTAATGAAGTTTGTGTCAAACATCATCTGCTAGTTGCAAAGCCATTCAGTAAGTTAATGAATATATTATCTCATCTATTTTGTGTTTAATTGAATTAATGTAATTGTTTAAGAAAATGATATTTTGCAAACGTAGTTATCTTAGCAAATATATGTATTTTTGTGTCTAAATTCGGTGAAATTTTAACTCAAATGGAAATTTAAAAAATCTATTGAAACCAATTTATTTCTTTACAGTGATTTGTGATTGAGATGTTCGTTGGTGAAATTCATTCGTTTTTTGCTGAAAGTGGAAATGTCCGTCATGCATCATTAGTTATTTTTTTTAAAGTTTTAGTAAAACCTTATTTCAGTAAAGTGACATTATTAAGGAATTATTAAGAATGAGCAAATGTCTGTCAATCGTTTGTGATGGCGTTGTAGAGAAGTAAAAAAAGTCTAAGGCAGGAACAATAATACTGTGAAGTCTACGACAGACTTACCTCCCTTCACCCTCTGTTTACCTGAAATCACGCCGCTACCATTACAGGCTAATACAATACCTAAACATTAGAAAACTTCGAATATTTCGAAGAAAATAAATAAGTTAGATATGTTTTCTACTGGGAACTGAACATTTTTCTAGATGAGTGTAAAGTATAAAATCTTTTACTTTAACAGAGTTAGAGACACAATACTAACGATTGAATTTGCATATCAAATCACAAGACAATGATACATTCTATTCCTCCGTAGAATATTTCGCTTGTAGCTCGTGACAGGCAGAGTCGCCGTCTGTTTTGTTTATGTATGTGTTGTAACTTAAAAACACCTAAACGTTTGAATGCAATTGAATTACATGTGATATGCGAAACAAATTATCCTTCTTCCAAAATGTAAACTTATAACTACGACCTGTTACTCCACATGCATTACGTGTTTTCACAATGTTAACACAGCGTCACTGTCGACAATGTTAACACAGCGTCACTGTCGACAATGTTAACACAGCGTCACTGTCGACAATGTTAACACAGCGTCACTGTCGACAATGTTAACACAGCGTCACTGTCGACAATGTTAACACAGCGTCACTGTCGACAATGTTAACACAGCGTCACTGTCGACAATGTTAACACAGCGTCACTGTCGACAATGTTAACACAGCGTCACTGTCGACAATGTTAACACAGCGTCACTGTCGACAATGTTAACACAGCGTCACTGTCGACAATGTTAACACAGCGTCACTGTCGACAATGTTAACACAGCGTCACTGTCGACAATGTTAACACAGCGTCACTGTCGACAATGTTAACACAGCGTCACTGTCGACAATGTTAACACAGCGTCACTGTCGACAATGTTAACACAGCGTCACTGTCGACAATGTTAACACAGCGTCACTGTCGACAATGTTAACACAGCGTCACTGTCGACAATGTTAACACAGCGTCACTGTCGACAATGTTAACACAGCGTCACTGTCGACAATGTTAACACAGCGTCACTGTCGACAATGTTAACACAGCGTCACTGTCGACAATGTTAACACAGCGTCACTGTCGACAATGTTAACACAGCGTCACTGTCGACAATGTTAACACAGCGTCACTGTCGACAATGTTAACACAGCGTCACTGTCGACAATGTTAACACAGCGTCACTGTCGACAATGTTAACACAGCGTCACTGTCGACAATGTTAACACAGCGTCACTGTCGACAATGTTAACACAGCGTCACTGTCGACAATGTTAACACAGCGTCACTGTCGACAATGTTAACACAGCGTCACTGTCGACAATGTTAACACAGCGTCACTGTCGACAATGTTAACACAGCGTCACTGTCGACAATGTTAACACAGCGTCACTGTCGACAATGTTAACACAGCGTCACTGTCGACAATGTTAACACAGCGTCACTGTCGACAATGTTAACACAGCGTCACTGTCGACAATGTTAACACAGCGTCACTGTCGACAATGTTAACACAGCGTCACTGTCGACAATGTTAACACAGCGTCACTGTCGACAATGTTAACACAGCGTCACTGTCGACAATGTTAACACAGCGTCACTGTCGACAATGTTAACACAGCGTCACTGTCGACAATGTTAACACAGCGTCACTGTCGACAATGTTAACACAGCGTCACTGTCGACAATGTTGACACAGCGTCACTGTCGACAATGTTGACACAGCGTCACTGTCGACAATGTTGACACAGCGTCACTGTCGACAATGTTAACACAGCGTCACTGTCGACAATGTTGACTTTAAGGATACGTTGAGTTGTTCAGTGACAAGGAAAGCATGATTGAACATAGTTTTGGGATTGTGTATCAAACACTGCTTCGCAAAATGTTCTGAATATTTGAACTCAACAAATTTCAGTAGCATCTTACTGTGATTTAAAAGGATAAAACAATTGGTCGCAGCTACAGGTCATAATTGTCCCGAACAGTTTGGTTTTCCTTTAAATATTTATCTTACATGCCGAACAATCAGCAAAGGAAGTGTTATATAAAGTTTGACCACAACGACTGACAGACATTTGTTGGTGTCTTGTTATGATAGTATTGGTACGGCTTACAGAATAGATCAAGTAAAGAAGATCAAGTTACCAAAGTAATTTTGGAAGGTCTAAAAAAATAACGTTATTTGCAAATTGCTTGGATTCAAATGGCATAAATCGGACCTGAATTTCAATGTAACTGTATGTATTGATGCACATGACGTTAACTAGCTTTGGTAAAGCGTCGAGAGCTTAGTGTTGTGCCTTTAACTCTCGCCTATTTTTAAAATGTCACATTTTATCGCCTACCTGAAATAAAGTGATTCAAAATATCACGTAGTCGCTGGTAGTATCCCACAGGTTGTGCATCGGTGATTGCACATGCATTTCAATGCTTGAATGACATAGATATAATACAAACGTGTAAATGAACATGCGACGTGTATGATATGGTCGCGCACAATCCATTTCTTCACATAGGATAAAACACATCCTCAATACTCCAGATGTTACGTTCACTTACGCTTTCAGCACCAAATGAATATGTCATGGCAACATCGAAGGCAAGCTAATGTAAATTGAATGGAGTAAATCAAACTAGTCTTTTCGTCCCATCAGCAACAAGGTGGTGCACACTGAGCTTACGATTTTATCATGACAATGATGCAAAGAGCGTAAGTGAGCGTAACCCCTGGAGTATCGAGGATCCATACAACAATTTGGGTGTCGTGTTTGATTCAAACCTCTGGTCGACGTTGTTACTTACCTAGGGATATCTTTTCGCCCGAGTCAGGTGGTAACATAAAGAGCAGCAGTGACATGGATGAAATGAGGACACACGGGATAATGATATTGAAGCCGTAGTACAGCGTGCGTCGCTGGATGTGGATGGTGACTGTAATGTCGATGTAGAATTCCGGACAACACTTGTAATGCCGCTCGCTCCGTACCGCCGGTACACCTGTCAATGACGTCATAGAGAACATGCACTCACAACAAACAGCAATACGTTTATATAAACTGCATAAAAAGTTGTGGAGACATATGATAGTGATATTGTAGAAACCATGTTAAATACAATTATAAAATACACATTACAATACAGTCAATCAACTGTTATTAAAATTTGAATGATAGCCATTCTGAACTAAGCATTCAATATCAATAAAAAAATGGGTCCTTGTGAACACGAAGTATTCTACAACCTCTCAATTTAAAAGAGAGAAGGTTCAGTAGCCGTTTGAATTTTACTTTTTAAGGCTTAGAAACACCTAATCATCTTTTCATTTTAAATTGTAACTAACTCTTTCACGCTTTATCTTCTGTTCAGCGTTTACAGCGCATGGAAAGCACGATAAGCATTTGAACAAAAATGGCTGTGAATTCGTGAAAACGTGAAAAGTAATACATGTATGAATACGGTCGTGAATATTAATTATAAAATTTCAGTTTTCAAAAGCAACATTACGGTAATAATTGTAAATTTCAGCTGAACTATTGTGAACTCGGCCTTTATTGACGCTTTTAAATTTTCAGGTTCAAGATCAAAGAGTAGCCTCCCGTTGGTTTGGTTTGGCTATAGCTGGTCTGGATCTATTGTTTTTACTCTTCTACCAGAGAACATTTGGATGGCATTTCATTATTTATTTCATCGTCAATCGGTTTTGATTTCATAAAAAAGGTTGTCTGCAACACCTACTGTCCTTTTCACTTATATTTGTTTTAAATCAGAAAAAATAATAATTTAATGCTCTCAAATTTTTAAAGATAAGAATAATGAAGCTTGTTCTTTCGTTTTGATATTATTGAACACAAATGATTCTTTATACAATAATGATTACAGTTATGAACATGTATACTGTTAAGTGTTATATTACAAATAACAAATTGTTCTATGAAAAGAGGATTATAACATAATAATGTAAAGAATCATATATTTCCTCTACTCCCAAATTTCAAAAAAAACTTTGTCAAGGTATGGGTGTTTTTTCTTGATGCCGTTCTGAAAGGTATAGTAATGCTAGAAAACAAAAACATTTTCTGGTTCATGGTGTCGTTTTTGGCAGTGGTGCAGGGAGCTGAACATTTCACGAATACGATAACATATATACGTATGGCCATGGCTTTCACTAAAGCTAAAATTGTAAGAACATATTGGCTAATTAGCGATAGGTAATAAAAGCATGATAATCCTGATGACGTTGAACCTGCAAGGGATAATAATGTGTATTTCAATCCATATAAGGGATAGCTTACTACCTAGGAGTTTCCACTCGCCGTTCCGAATGAAGGTTGAAGTGTCCCCTTTGTCGCTTTCCAGTTGTAGATCCAATAACTGACCGGGATGTGTCCACGACCCGAATTTCATGGTGCACTTTTGCTCGTCAAAAGGAAACCAGGCGATGTTGATTGCGCATGTGCTCTTGAACATTCCAGGAGGTATCCACGAACAGCTTCCGTCGCTGTAGACGATGACGTTGGTGTGAAAAGTACCGTCAAACGCTTCGTCGGCACTGAAACATTATACACACATTGATAGTGTTATTGAAGTAACTTCAACCGACTCGTCACCAATGATGTATAGACTCACATTGACAATGTGACTACATTTGTCGTCGAACGCCTAGTCGAAACTGAAAAATGAAGACACTCACAAGGCTAGTTAGGGTTAAACAGCATAACAATTGTGGATGATCGGGTGGTCCAGAGGATAGCGCATTCGCCTTCCACCAAGGCTTTTCGGACGTGAATGGGTATTGAGTCACATGCCTAATAACGTGGGTTTTCTCCGAGTTATCCGGTTTCCTCAAACATTAAAACCATTTGTGCGCTTTCCATCGGGGCCAGCAAGAGATCTTAATATAAGTTTGAAAAGTTATTTCAGAATTGTTGCAAATTAAATAAAGGTGATATATAATGTCATAAAAGTGTATATTACTTATCATATTTGACTAAATTACATATCACACATAGAGAGATGTTCGGAAGCGAGAAAAGAAAAGAAAGTCTTTAGTGATATACACTGATACTAATATGACCTTGAACATTATGAATCATGTGTAACCACTCAGTCAGTGCAGCCTCTAGCCAGACACCACTCAGTCAGTGACGCCTCTAGCACGACACCACTCAATCAGTGCAGCTTCAAGCCCGACACCACTCAGTCAGTGCAGCCTCTACCCCGACACCACTCAGTCAGTGCAGCCTCTAGCCCGAAACCACTCAGTCAGTGCAGCCTCTAGTCCGACACCACTCAGTCAGGGCAGCCTCTAGCCCGACACCACTCAGTCAGTGCAACCTCTAGCCCGACACCACTCAGTCAGTGTAGCCTCTAACCCGACCCCACTCAGTCAGTGCAGCCTCTAGCCTGACACCACTCAATCAGTGCAGCCTCTAGCCCGACACCACTCAGTCAGCGCAGCCTCTAGCCCGACACCACTCAGTCAGTGCGGCCTCTAGCCCGACACCACTCAGTCAGTGCAGCCTCTAGCCCGACACCACTCCGTCAGTGCAACCTCTAGCCCGACACCACTCAGTCAGTGTAGCCTCTAGCCCGACACCATTCAGTCAGTGTAGCCTCTAGCCCGACACCACTCAGTCCGTGCAGCCTCTGGCCTGACACCACCCAATCAGTGCAGCCTCTAGCCCGACACCACTCAATCAGTGCAGCCTCTAGCCCGACACCACTCAATCAGTGCAGCCTCTAGCCCGACACCACTCAGTCCGTGCAGCCTCTAACCCGATACCACTCAGTCAGTGCAGCCTCTAGCCCGACAACACTCAGTCAGTGCAGCCTCTAGCACGACACCACTCAGTCAGTGCAGTCTCTAGCCCGACACCACTCAATCAGTGCATCATCTAGCCCGACACCACTCAGTCAGTGCAGCCTCAAGCCTGACACAACTCAGTCAGTGCAGCCTCTAGCCCGACATCACTCAGTCAGTGCAGCCTCTAGCCCGACACCATTCAGTCAGTGTAGCCTCTAGCCCGACACCACTCAGTCCGTGCAGCCTCTAGCCTGACACCACTCAATCAGTGCAGCCTCTAGCCCGACACCACTCAGTCAGTGCAGCCTCTAGCCCGACACCACTCAGTCCGTGCAGCCTCTGGCCTGACACCACTCAATCAGTGCAGCCTCTAGCCCGACACCACTCAGTCAATGCAGCCTCTAGCCTGACCCCACTCAATCAATGCAGCCTCTAGCCTAACCCCACTCAGTCAGTACAGCCTCTAGCCCGACACCACTCAGTCAGCGCAGCCTCTAGCCTGACACCACTCAGTCAGTGCAGCCACTAACCCGACACCCCTCAGTCAGTGCAGCCTCTAGCCCGACACCACTCAAGCAGTGCAGCCTCTAACCCGACACCACTCAGTCAGTACAGCCTCTAGCCCGACACCACTCAGTCAATGCAGCCTCTAGCCTGACACCACTCAATCAATGCAGCCTCTAGCCTAACACCACTCAGTCAGTACAGCCTCTAGCCCGACACCACTCAGTCAGTACAGCCTGTAATCCGACACCACTCAGTCAGTACAGCCTCTAGCCTGACACCACTCAGTCAGTGCAGCCACTAACCCGACACCACTCAGTTAGTGCAGCCTCTAGCCCGACACCACTCAGTCAGTGCAGACTCTAGCCTGACACCACTCAGTCAGTGTAGCCTCCAGCACGACACCACTCAGTCAGTGCAGCATCTAGCACGTCACCACTCAGTCAGTGCAGCCTCTAGCCCGACACCACTCAGTCAGTGCAGCCTCTAGCACGACACCACTCAATCAGTGCAGCCTCAAGCCTGACACCACTCAGTCAGTGTAGCCTCTACCCCGACATCACTCAGTCAGTGCAGCTTCTAGCCTGACACCACTCAGTCAGTATAGCCTCTAGCGTACAGCCTCTAGCCCGACACCCCTCAGTCAGTGCAGCCTCAAGTTTGACACCACTCAGTCAGTGTACCCTCTAGCCCGACACCACTCAGCCAGTGCAGCCTCTAGCACGACCCCACTCAATCAGTGCAGCCTCGAGCCCGACATCACTCAGTCAGTGCAGCTTCTAGCCTGACACCACTCAGTCAGTATAGCCTCTAGCCGTACACTCCTCAGTCAGTGCAGCCTCAAGTTTGACACCACTCAGTCAGTGTACCCTCTAGCCCGACACCACTCAACCAGTGCAGCCTCTAACCCGACGTCACTCAATCAGTACAGACTCTAACCCGACACCACTCAGATAGTGCAGCCTCTAGCCCGACCCCCCTCAGTCAGTGCAGCCTCTTGCCCGACACCACTCAGTCACTGTAGCCTTTATGCCGACACCACTCAATCAGTCCAGCCTCTAGCCCGACACCTCTCAGTCAGTGTAGCCTCTAGCCTGACACCACTCAGTCAGTATAGCCTCTAGCCCTACACCACCCAGTCAGTGCAGCCTCTAGCTCGACACCACTCAATCAGTGGAGCCTCAAGCCTGACACCACTCAGTCAGTGTAGCCTCTAGTTCGACACCACTCAGTCAGTGTACCCTCTAGCCCGACACCACTCAGCCAGTGTAGCCTCTAACCCGACACCATTCAGTCAGTGTAGCCTCGAGCCCGACACCACTCAGTCATTGCAGCCTCTAGCCTGACACCACTCAGCCAGTGCAGCCTCTAACCCGACACCACTTAGTCAGTGCAGCCTCAAGCCCGACACCACTCAGTCACTGTAGCCTCTATGCCGACACCACTCAATCAGTGGAGCCTCAAGCCTGACACCACTCAGTCAGTGCAGCCTCGAGCTCGACACCACTCAATCAGTGCAGCTTCAAGCCCGACCCCACTCAGTCAGTGACGCCTCTAGCACGACAGCACTCAATCAGTGCAGCTTCAAGCCCGATACCACTCAGTCAGTGCAGCCACTAACCCGACACCACTCAGTCCCTGTAGCCTTTATGCCGACACCACTCAATCAGTACAGCCTCTAGCCTGACACCACTCAGTCAGTGCAGCATCTAGCCCGTCACCACTCAGTCAGTGCAGGCTGTAACCCGACACCACTCAGTCCCTGTAGCCTTTATGCCGACACCACTCAATCAGTCAGCCTCTAGCCCGACACCCCTCAGTCAGTACAGCCTCTAGCCCGACACCACTCAATCAGTGCAGCCTCTAACCCGACACCACTCAGTCACTGTAGCCTTTATGCCGACACCACTCAATCAGTGCAGCCTCTAACCCGACACCACTCAGCCAGTATAGCCTCTAGCCCTACACCCCTCAGTCAGTGCAGCCTCTAGCACGACACCAATCAGGCAATGCTGCCTCTAGGTCACTCACTAACCCGACACCACTCAGTCAGTGTAGCCTCTAACCCGACACCACTCAGTCAGTATAGCCTCTAGCCCTACACCACTCAGTCAGTGCAGCCTCTAGCACGACACCAATCAGGCAATGCTGCCTCTAGGTCACTCAGTGCAGTTATTTAGATCACCACTAACACTGTCAAATGGTACTTTTTAGAAATAAGAGTATTTTTTATTTCAATATATCTAATTCAACACGTGTAATTTAGCGATCATAGCTTTACTTCAGTGTGTAAGGCGTCGTTCCAATAATAATGACCACTCGTGTCTCTTACTGCAGACATGGTGTATAGCAACGGTTTCCTGTCCTGTCTTATAGATTTACCTACGCTAATTACTGGTGAGATGGAGAACATTCTTACACATTTGATTTCATTGATATTGAAAATGTTAGTGTGGGAGGTTTGATTTAAAATGAGTTATTACAAGTAATCGTGTGTAACTCACTTTGCAGAATGGCGTCCACATTTTAATTCCCTTTTCCACATTAACATTTTTTAACATACTTAACCCCCTGATCTGTTAATGATGACGTCTCTGATGTTTTATGAAGACTCTGTACACCCTTAACTCCAATCAACGACTTAATTACCTGTTGTACATCAGTATATCCGGCTTCCAGACCTTAGCGGCGGGAACCCTGATAGACGCAATGCCACCAAATTCCTCGGGGTTCCAAACCAAATTACAGTCCTTCCATTTCTGTAAAAAGAACCATGAATATGAAGATGATTATTCATGAAAATGAAGTCCGTACTAGCAAGTACTTTACCAACCGTCTGACACGGGATAACATATATCTAGATCATTAAGCTACGGAATTATGGCAAACTTGTCATTATGATCGACGGCGTTCAAGGTCTACATGATTATACTTTTTGTACCGATTTGTTCGGGAACATTCAGTAAATAGATTTTTTCCCCCAGAGAATGTATCATCGTTCCTTAAATACACTACCACGCTTTTATAATTCAACACTAAACCCATATCATAGATATGTCTCAAAAAGGTTACAAGTACTCACCATGTTTAGCCATACGTTGGAATGGAGAATCTGCATCTTTTCATCCTGAAATTTATAACAATTGTTACCTTTACTTAAATCAGGGTCAAAGAAGACGATATCATCTAAATGTATCTACGGTACCATACACCAACCAGATTTCGTTCGTTTGAGATAAACTGACTAAGATTATACTGTGAACTTATTGCAATTATAATGTGATGTTGATATCAGTTTTTTTTTATGTTATTGCTTTATATCTTCAATATGTAAAATGTCCATTTCGTTAAACATTTTTTTCTCATCTGTACTTTACAGAATTCAAAACTATTAGCCGGCGATTATGCAAAAGAAACAGGGAGATTTTTATAAAGTGGAAATAAAGCAAATTGCAACATCGGGATTGTTTTGATTTTCTTTCGTTCCCAACAGAATTTTTCAACAGAAAGTCATATAAATTCGTATATCAATTAACCTATTGTCAGTATAATGTGACTAGATAAAGTGTCATGCTACATTGTCCAAGATAATTTAATATCAGTGGATACCTCTTTAAAGTCACACTTAAATTGTCTCATCAACTGTAGTACCCGTATGACATACAGATGTAGCTGTTGTAAGGACATTAAACCCTAAAACAGACTAACGGAAAGCTTTCTCAACTAATGGTAAGTAAAGAGATGCCAACTCTCGTGTTTCACAATATATCTATGGGCTGTCGGTTGTATTATGCAGCTAGCGGATGTATACTCTTCTTCTTGTTCCTATTGTTACGAAGGCTCCATCAATTTTGATGATTGTGTCTTATTGTGACCAGCATTGTTATGGAGAGGCTAGTGGAGTACTTATTTGAATACATTATGTAAACGTACTTACTTTTGCGAACTAAACATTTAGCGAATTTTCACATTTTATCAGTTAAGAAAATAAATGAAAAATTTGCGCATCCACAGAAAGTGTAATAAAGAAAAATATACTGGTGTTTCAATTGGTACATTCATATATTAGCGCAAAAGTTAAGGAGCGAAAAGCACTAAAATAAGAAAACCGCTAAAATATGTACGTCTACAGTGTACAATACGTACGACGTCAATGATCTGTTGGAGCACGATGCTGAACTGGACCACGATCGCCTGGGACTCGTTCTCCACTGGGCGCTCAAGGTTGTTATAGTGCTTCTCCACAAACAGGTAGTGCAATAAGCGCTTCTCGTTAGAGCCCTGTAGCGTCTCTGTCCGCAAAAGTACAAAACATTATTAGGAACATTCATAGCGTAATTAGGAACATATTAAAGTAAGTAGAAATAAACACAGGTACCAAAAAGCAATTTAGAGAATACACAGGCCGATGGAAATTCACATCTGTACAAAATGTTGATTGGAACACACACATGAATGTCAAAATCAACGCAAATACAAACGTATTCATCTAATTATATACTTAAAGTAATGAGGAACACACACATCATATTTAAGATATATGTCATTACTGATAGATATGAGTGTAAAGCTGCAATCAACAACCAAGTCAAATGCAATGCTATTTCCTATGCGTGATAACATTACGAGGGTCGATGGGACCAGGTAGTTCACGGAGGGTTACTAAACGTAGTAAATGTAGTCAATTATTGATTGATTTGTTTCCAGATGCTTACAGCATACCGTAATGAGATTATATTCATCAAAATATATATGGCGGCTGCACTGAAATGTGTGTCTTTTGTCATTGTACTTAAATTCCACGAACTGTACCCTCTCTACCAGAAGGGCAACGGATCGGCGTGATTTACAATTCGGATATGTTTTCAGACACCACGACCATTGTGAGAATAAACCCTATGGGAAATAGTCATATTAACAATTAATTACAAGTCACTTAAGGACAACCTCGATTCTGCAGGTACATGTAGTCGTTCATATGAAGGATAACAACCGGCTCATTTTCTAGATCTCCCAAATCGTCGAAATACATGTCAAGGCAGAATGTGTTATTATGGACCTCCATACCTCTGCCAAACACGGTAATTTAGTATTGGAATCTGTTTTTCCCAGCATGGCTATAGGTATGATAAATCATTGGTTTGTGTGAGAAAATTACGTCGTTTTCTCAAAAATTGATGACGCTACTCTCACAAACAAGTGACGTAACAATCAATACCTGCTCCCAAGAGAAGATAACTCTGCAATACGCAAATACGGAATAGGTATGATAAATCATTTTTGACAAATAATCCATGCATTGGAGGACTTTTATAGAAAAAAAGGGATACTGTGTATACGAAAAAATAGAAGAGTGGGACAATTATCCTTAAGTCGATACTTATGTTCAAGCGGTAATGTCGAAAAACGATCATTTGTCAAGGGAGATAACACTGATATCGTGCTAAGTCTTTTTCTTCTTTATTGAGCTTTTGTTACTTCTTCTTTATGCGTCATAACCTTAACCCAAAACTGTTATCTTAGGATCCCTGAAAATGCTATCAATTTTCAGCATAACCACAAAATGTGGAGAAGCTCTAATTGGAAAGTAAAGAAAACAGAACGCAATTTTCATGTGTTGTTTAAGTTTAGGTTTAAATATTTGCTTCAGACGCCAAATCTCACATACCACATCACTTGCTTTCTGTATGAATAAAAGGATTCAGCGATAACAACTTTCTGTAATATAGATTGACACCTAAACGTGAAACCGTTGTCGATAAGGTATATGAACTTGTAAATTAGACATTCAGAAATTGTTCTCTTGGTCATAACTCGCGGGTAACGTAATAGCCCTGCACGTCCTGCTCCGCAAGAGATAGACAACCACTGATTTGGTAAACATCTGCTTTAAAGAGACGCTAGACATTACGATAAGTAGTATTTTGACATTTATTCAAATATGCTATAAGTAATGTCTTGTTATGTTTGCTTTAAATGATCTTTCTTTAAGTTTAACATCCAAAACGATAAAGAACATGATGATTTTATTGCAAAATATTTCTGAACGCTCCATACTTGCTTGGCATAAATGGCAGTCTGCAGCCTTCCGAACGTTTAATAGTTTCCCGTGTGCTGATATCATTTTGTGAAGTGTAAGAGATAGCACTAGTGTCACATAGACTGTACACTAGAAGATGTGTGCAGTCATCTCTATGAAAACAAGTCTTACATGTAGCATTCTAAAGTGAATGATAACTTTTTGTTATAGCAAACATTACTTTACGTCCGACAAGGAGCATGAATTAACGTGTTCATATTGAATAAACAAATATTTTTCAGTTTCTTCACACACAAGTATACATATATTCTTAGCATATCCTGTTATTGTCGGCAAAGCGGCAAAGCGCATGTTAAACGCACCTTAGTGAAGCTTCATATTTTCTTGTTAGCTTTAAACAACTTAAGTATCAAGAACAATTTTCCAACTTATAAACAAGAGTGAAACGTAACCAAGCGTGTGTTTCCGTAAGTATGTGGAAGCTCTCGTTTCCTCTCCTTTTGTATTGATATATGTTTGGCCTCTATTGTTCTGGGTCGATTTTGACCCTGCACGTTAGATGTTTATTTGTTTGTTTGTTTGTTTGTTTGTCAAGACTAAACGACCCCTTGACACTAGGCCATTTTGATTCTACAGCGTTAAAAAGAAAATCCAAAGACGCCACATACATCAAAAGTACATAAAAGGTTAAACTTAGTAAAATATTTATATCACGCTCAGCTCTACTTTAAACGCCTATTTCCTGTATGTACGTCATAATATATAGTTGTAATCTGGAATTGTTCAGAAGGTTCTTTCATGGTATATACATAGGAATAACTATGACGAACCATTAACTGTTCAACAAGCAATGTCGTACAATTAAGTTGAACTTCACCCCTAAGCAAATGTTCAAAAGTGACGTAGGTACATTATGTATGTCCCGTTCTGATTCGGACCAAGGCTACCCGCTCCTTCCTGTTGTTTCGTTAACAGTAACACTGTTCACTTAATAAAGACTGGACATTCCTAGGTTTATTATAAGTACACTCTATACAACACTGTTGCCATTTTTGTTTTAAAGTATTCCATTCCATATATGCAATTTGAAATATGAATATGGTACGTTAGATTACAGTAACAATAACACTATGGTTTGCAACCTGTACATGTAATAATAGGGTACGACCTTCTAAATGTAGTGTCTTTTATTACGTGTACCATAACTTTACTTCCTTCGATGCCGTATTTCTTCCGAGTCGAGTCTAATCATCCACTTCCATGCACGTGCTACCGACAAATTAGTAGTGATAAAGATTTAAAGATTAAGTTTAACTCCCCTGACAAGAGTTACATTTAACATTTCGGTTAACAAACCGGGATGAAACCTAAGCATGCTTGGTGCAGTTTAGGACATTACCACATGTGAACGATATCTTAAAGACTGTCACATATGAAAGCTACCTTGTTGATACGAGGAATCAAAATAAACATTGATGTTCTGTTTCGCTTGGCATCAAACGTTGCAACTTGAATTAAATCTCAACGCTGTAATGTGGAAATAATACATAAGCAGGGTTCGACAAAACATTACTTGCTGGTAAAGTACAACATCACACTTTAACGTATGGCTTAATTTTGTAAAGTGTACCACATCAAATTCACCAACATTCTATTTCATACATGTCCCTTAGTGTACATACATCATTTTACTTTACAACATGCATGAGTTTATTCAGTTAACCTTCTATTAACAGCTATGGTGTTTTAAGGACGAACCTCTCGGGTGCCTCTTTACCGGTAACATGTGCGCGTAAATAGATCTTATCCAATCAAACTGATTCCATCACTGAATCGTACAGCTACAGTCTAGAAACTTTTCGTACTTCCGGTGACCTCTTCCGGTCCATGAAGCCTGTAAATATGCCTAATCGAATAATAGAGCGAAATGTAACGAGGCAGGAACATTATGTATTCGAAACAACGAATTTGTTAAAAAATATTGACCATATTCAATACACTTGGCGTGTTTATTTCCACGATTCCCTTCCTTTTGTATCGAAAAGAGAAATGATTGGCATGGTCATCAAAAATCTTACATGAATGTCACAAGCAAATGGCGTCGATGAGTGCGTAAAAATGTGATTAGATGACACACTGTATTACCGTCGATTAAATTAGCTTAAATTTTGTATCGAAATAGATAATTTTCTAAACATACACATTTTCCAACTTAATATTAATATTCCCACTAGGGCGGAAATACCCGAGTATGTACGACGCAGGGTCAATGACGAGGTCACTAGGTTCTCATTGGATAGTAAAAGTTCAGATCATTGATGAGGTCAAAGTTCATGGGTCGTTTGCTCCAGCTACAGATACATATGATGAAACAGAATTGTCATCGACAGCTTTCCAAGGAAAGACGTAAGGTGTTTCAAAGGGTCAAATTGCGGATTTTTCAATATCACTACTCTTGTTTTTCTGCATTTATTGTAGAACGTCAACTTTATATAGTTCTTCAAAATTCTTCCATTTGGGGATCGTTTCTGTTGATATTTGATACAAATTTGTGATATTACCCTTAGATTTTACAACTAAAACTATGGAATTTCAATACTAGATCTGCATGTACAATAGATTGAATCTAGTTTCATATAATGCAACAAAATTAACAATTACTTAAAAAAAAAAAAACTGTACAGTTTTGTATAGTCAAATATCTTATATATATTGATACTTAGATAAATATTTATAAAAAAGATTAAACGCTTGACAATTTGTAAATTCCGTTCAACTGTGTAAATTATTACAGCATATTGATTAGACATTGAAGTGAACTCATTAATTTGGTCTGCTTTATGAATATCAGTAAAGAAGAGAATTAGAAACATTATATTTTCACCACTTTTATTTTTGTTAACGGATTGCATAATATGCGACCGTCAGCATCCATTTCTAATCAAAATCAAAACTATTCCGCATATGATGTACCTGGTCATGATAGCAATTGTTTTTATTCAACCACATTTAACAACAATATTGCTCAAGAACAAGTCCATCTTGAAACTGACATCAATTTCATCGAGTTAACAAAATCATCACTGAAAACAACACAATACACACTCTTTGACCCTCAAATTTGACAATGACATAAGAGGGGTATCAATCAAAAACCGAGGAAAACATGGTCAAACTCGCAAAAAATAAAATCACTCAAAATATGATTACACAAAGTTATACGATGGTGTCCATCCAGAAACTTCACTTGCAAACAAATGTTTTAGCTGATATATGCCAATCTATCTCTAGGTATCTACAAAACTTTATGACAGCAGCGACGATGAGGAGGAGGAATCTCCTGCTGTTGATACCTGGATCTTCTAAGGTATATAATCAGTACAAACATTACATTTCATAATTTCACATGGATTATCTAAATTATTTAAAAGAAAAATATAAAATCTTAATTTTATACGTACAGTGGTGGGAACGTGACAGTCTCTAACCTGTTATGTCTAACATGCTAAACATATTTAAATTAAAAACAGACACATCCTTCCTGGATTGGCATATCAATTCAAACCATTTGTTTAAACATTATGCCTACAACTCTCATTATCATGTTTACTCTATGCTTTTTTTAAATGGCATTTGTTTCTTTTGGATCAAAGTAGTAATGTATAATATTATCAGAGATGTCTATATTACTAATATACCTCTCTGATATTATGAACAGATATGAGTAGAGGGAGAGGGTATATACTTTTATTCTTGGATAAAACAAGAACCAAATGGGGATACTATTATATCAATATGGTCTAGTAGTACTGTAGTACAAACCAGTCAATTTCAAACTAACATATGATACGTCATATTAGTGAAGTGTGAATGTGGATCATTATAAAACAGAGCACACATAAGTACAAGGATATTTTTTTTTGTCTAGCAAAATCAAGTATTTTATGAAATAAACAAGTACAGGTACATTTTGTATGTATTAAAATGGGTAATGTTATGATTCAAGAATTATACTATGCTATTAAAACAATGTACAGTACGTGCTTCGCTCTCTCCAGACCATGCCTGGGTCATATTATATGCCTGCTCGTGTGTTTTAGTGCTAAAGGCAGTATGTTCGTGTGTATGTCTCCTAGCGATAACACAAACATGTTCATGAAAACAATCGCATGCATGGCACAGATGTAAACACAGGCATGACACAGACAAAATAAAAACCCGAGTCTTTGTTCCGACGAAAATGTAGTACATTAATTAAAGTCAGACTTGTTGTATACGGAATGCAATGAATGTCGATGATGTTCGTCTGATTGATCATCCAAGTAAACACGCCAATTGACACGTGTCATTAATAAATATTGGACTTGCCTTAAAATCTGCCCACATGAAGATCACACATGCATTCATGACAAAACACAGATCATCATATTTTCCAACAAACTGACTTCAAAACCTGCTGAATCAGAACCTGATAAATTCAGTTAGTCGCTCGATAGCTTTTCATTAGTCGGATTCTAGTTTGGTTTTCTAGAGAACAAAGCCTGAGGAATGCGACCCGAACTATGACAATCAATTTCAATGTTGAGACATGTTCAGACTTAATCCCATTCCTGTGCAGTGATAATGATGTATTAGTGATTGATTCTGTGAGGCACTTCCCTAAGTTGCCCGGATGTGGTTAAAGCTTGAACTGGTGTGTCTTTATAACAGGGAACTGGTGTTTTTGTAACGCCTTTTTGTCAGTAATAAAGCTAATTTACTTTACAGCACGAGTGAATCCAGGGTGAAACACAAGTATTTACTCTCAGTAAAGTACATATCACCTTAAAATTTCACAACAAAAACATTAAAAAGTAAAAAAAATCATTTTTTTAAATAAATTTAAATAGAAACTATTTAAAAGAACTAGTATGTCTGCCGAATTACCTTATACCAAAGAAAATAATAGAACTTGAAACCCTTAATCGTTACTTCACTACAAGTATTTTTACCGTTAAAAAGATTCATGGTTTATTTTGATTTCGTATAGAAATTCTATGATGCAATGAGACACATTTAAGGTATCAAACGATTTTATAAAATAAACGGGTTTATTGAAACCGAGCGTACATCCTTACAACTCGAATTTGTATATTACGAGTGCATTTGCATAAACAATGTGTAATAAATACCGCGAATCCTAACGATAAAGCCTGGCGGTAGGTTATATGTTTTGAATGCTCAACAATATAGTTTATTGTATGCTGTCTTTGATAATAAAAACAAATGTAGGACACGTCCCTGTTTGCAGTATTCTATCAACAGAGATAGTTTATTGTATACTCCGGCTGTTGTGCAGTGTAATCGCATCATATAATCAAATTTCTATGTGTAAAATGTTGTACATGTAATATCACCCACATAAGTAACAGTACAATGACATCATAAAACCACAGCAACGTAAATTTACAACAACACAGAGCACAATATATATTGGATTTTACATCAGTTTCCATTTCATATGAGATTCATGAAAGAATTTTTCAATTTAGCGAGCCTCTGGCGAGCTGAAATGAAACATTCGTGACGAGTTTCATTAACTTGATATGAAATGAAAACGAGTGTAAGATCCTTTTATCGCATAATCAAGATTGATGCCATTTATTCGTGTAAAACGACAATTTGCATGCAACATTGAAATGTAAAAAGCCACCGTTTTGACTCCAGTGCGTAAGTCTGTGACGTTTTGTACTTGTCCTAGGCGTGACGTCACAGTTGAAACAATTGAAACTTACAATTAATCACAGGGCTAATACATTTGTAGGTTATATTACATGGGTTAATACGTAAAACAATATAACATGTATATATGCAATGGATAGCACAGTACATTATGTGATAAAACCGTTTAACACATACCTTTGACGATTACGATGATCAGCAGTAGCGCCATCTCGAGGCGGACGAGGCGGGTATTCTCCATCGCCGTCCATGCGTGTATTACTGTCTACACGTACAGATAGACATCGGATTTACTGCAACCTGTAATTAAGAAAATAATGTTTTTACATATGGTTCTATGAAGTTGTACAATACAATTTTATACGTTATGTTATTCAAACAGTACAAAACGATGGTGAATTCCTGCGAACACAAGTTTCTTTGATTATTATATTGCCAGTGTGAATACTGTTTCTACATGTAATTCCCGTAGTTGCTTGTAAAGTTTATGAAAATGAAAGAAATGTCAGCAATGTATATTTAGATCCATTTCTATAACTGACGTTTGTCTGATGTAGGAATGGAAATTTGACACCGTATTTCACATGAAAAATTACATTCACATTCACATTCCAGTGTATACTTTGTTCGTGTGTTCTCGTTCTCCGCGTGACTAAGACGTTTAACTCATTAGAAGAGCGTTGTTTCCCAGTTAGTCCAAGCCGATAAAGATCGGTAAGTAACACAATCAAACTAACTTCTACACTGTAACCATTAATAGGACCGTCACTGATTTTATTGTTTGTAATCATTCGACTTTGTACTTTGTGTCAGGTCGGTTATTCCATTTCGTTACTTTATCTCTAGGTATTTAACGCCATAGACATCACGCATGACGTTTTGACAGGGAATGACACTCCATTGTGCCCATAGTTTAAGAACCTACGGACACGCTTTCGTTCAAATGCAATCACAACCATAGATAAAAGGATACAGCTTATTAAGTTCACTTCAAAACCAACCCGAGTAATTCTGCCTTAAGGATCTGTGTTATCGGTATAGGGTAAGTATAAACAGAACGAACTCAGTCGGTCAATTATCATAGAAATTTCACAGTGAATGGAATCGACCAAGGCCTATAACGGCAACCTTATACGCATATAACTAGATTATAATATCATAAGATGCCAAGAATATGCTATATGCACATGACCTTGAACCAATGGATGAATTAATGTTATTGACTTCCAGTAAATTAGTATTCCATGTAGCTCTACCGCATTGACGGGGTTTGAGTAGCAGGTCAGTAAACGATGACAGTGTTATATGGTCAGGTTTGTGTCAAGAATGCTGATATCGTCTTTGATTGTGGTGTTTATCAAAGTTCAGATTGTGATCATTAAGAAACTAATTACTTCTAGCAAATGTTCATTCATATAAAAATTGTCATCTGTTGAATTAATCATGCATTATGCATATGTTGTTCCATATGAAGATATAAGGTGTACCATCGGCTATTGAATATCTTAACAGCAAGGTACTAAACAAGCACTGATCGCTCGTGACGTCATAAGCGTTTAGTAGTGACTGACCCCTGGTATACTGGTAGGCGGGGTTTGAATTCAGGCATTGGGGGCAACTAGTGTCGGGCCTTAAATGTTTAAACAAATAATTACATAGGTATTGTTTACTTCAAGACAGCTCTTGGTAAAAGTATTGACTGTCCCCATAAAAAAGGTGTACTTTAAGGGTATCCATGTGAATCGTTTTTTTGTTCATGTTTTGCCACCATTTTATTAGTTTTGAATTATCGTATTCTTGATACTTCGGTGTGTGTTTAAACAAATAAAAAACTGACACATGGACAACATCACTAATTACTAAGATATACAGTGATTTGTATAAATATCATCATTTGTACAAATAATTTGTTTATGTACGTCATAATATTATTATTCCACAAATGATTACCTTATAATTACCCCTGCAGGTGGGGGATCGGGAAAAGAAAACACCTACTGTTACCTACGGTACAATGTATGTATTGTAGGAGGCGACTAATAGGGATTACCCTTACACAATTTGGGATTTGCTTTAGTGTCCTCTATTTGGGGACACAAAAGCGACCAAAATAAATTATATTTTTTGTGCTCGTCATCTTCCTTTTATTTCCCAGCGCCTTGCTTGGCAACACCTCACTTCTGGCCTTAATGTTGAGATTTCGCCAAGGTGAGGAAGACAATGGGTTCTATCCCCAGGCCGAAGCATACCAAAGTCCTTAAAAATGGTAGTTATAATTACCTGCTTAACGTTTAGCATTAACTGGTTCACACGTTGTCAGTATAATGTGACCGGGCGGAATGCTGTGCTTGGTGCCTTCGACCTGGCATTTCAGTGAGAAAGCACTATAAATTCGGCATCAGATCCGCGTTATCACAAGGAAACGAGCACACCAACATACCATGTCTACTGCATACACACGCAAGCACGCATGCACTACACACATGGAGGTACGTCCTTAAATGACCTTAGCTGTTAATACACTGTAGGACGTTAAACAAAATCAAACCAAACCAAATTGAACAAAAACGAACTCTCTGGTATTCTTTGTAGTATGTATACAAACATTTGTATTCTCTATAACATCAATACATGAGCCACTCGTAGCATTGTGTTATGAACGCAACATAGCAAAGTGTACGTTGAGCACACCAGCACAATTGTGGTATGAACACAGAAGGACATAGTTTTAGTCATTATATATGTAACAGGAACGTGGAATGTTTCTGATCCGCATTATGTTGAACCCCGGAAACATTAACACGTTATAATAACGTTAATGTTGACTCAGCACCTCCTTAAAACTTGTTAACCAGACTGACTTCGGCTTGTCATATCCTATTTGTAAGTTATTTGAGCTGAATGTGGAATATGTCAAGTTCGTTGTGTTTCAGAGTTCTTTCTGGGTTTTTATATTGCACATTTCGCTTTCCACTCAAGCCAACGAAACCCCAGTCATGACAAAATTGTAGGAACACAAATTTACTCCGCCAAAGGATTAGCTGTACTGTATTGATTTCAGGATTTCTTGTGCAATAACACACGCTAAAAAAAAGTAACCACTTCTTTTGATGCGAGTTACTTTAAACAGAAAGAAAAGGTTTTAAGATTATTAGTTATTCCTAATATTGACCATGTCAACAAATAATACAAAATTCTTAAGAATTATGAACGGCTCAGTTGTCCCAATTGAAAGGTGAAAATACTATTCTAATGAATTCGATAATAAGACGGATACAATAAGTGTTTGGCAAAATTATGAATAACTTACGAAACTGACGGAACATCACCTGATGATTCATCAGTTCTCCATTACTTATTAATTCTGCATTAAGTCCTGTTGTTTGGTATCACCTCGGTTAATTTGGTACCTTCTTGGTTCCTCTTGTATTGGTATTTCATTGGTCCCTGTTGTCTGGTATCACCTGGGTCCCAGTTATTTGTGTTTCATGGGTACAAGTACCTGTTGTTTGGTATCACGTCTGTTTCTGTTATTTTGGTATCTCATGGGTCTCTGTTATTTTGGTATCTCCTTGGTTCCTGTTGTTTTGGATTTCATTAGTTCCTGTTATTTTGGTATCTCCTTGGTGCCATTTGTTTTGATATTTCGTTGGTTTCTGTTGTTTGATATCACCTCGGTTTCGATTATTTTGGTATCTCCTCGATTCCTGTTGTTTTGGTATCTCATGGGAACCTGTTGTGTTGTATTTCATTGGTTCCTATTGTTTGGTGTAGGCCTCCACCACTGAGTCGCAGGTTCGAGACCTACGTGGGGAAGTCGCCTGGTACTGTTCGTAGGTTGGTGGTTTTTCTCCGGGAACTCCGGCTTTTTTCCACCACCAAAACCTGGCACGTCCTTAAATGACCATAGCTGTTATTAGGACGTAAAACACACTAACAAACCAAACCAAAACAGTCTCCTGGGTTCCTATTGTTTTGTTATCTCATAGGCTGTTGTTGTTTTATTATCTCCACTACTCCTGATGTTTAGTTATCCTTTTGGTATTGTTGCTTTGTATTGGTATCTCCTCTGTCCCTGTTGTTTTGGTGTATCCATAGTTCTTAACAGTTTGGTGTCTCATTAATTTGGAATGTGTTGGTATCTCCTCCGTCGATGTGTTTTGGTGTCTTTTCACATCCTGTTCATATCCTTTTGAATTTCAGTTTTAATCTTGCGTGTTGGAGCACCGGAATGTTGGCCTCTGATTGACTTAACTCATGTCTTATCTCACATTAACACAATGATATATACATGATAAGGGTGTAACCACATTAACACAATTATATATACATGATAAGGGTGTAACCCTGTTTAAGGATTCCATTAATTGCAACAGTGATCAACAGTGTTTGGCATATAACAAGCGTTATAACAATGCCTTTCTCGTAAGGTTAAACACGTTATTTTGTTATACATGAGCGAGAATAATAACAGTACGGTATTACTCGCTCTGTAATTTATTAAATGTACTGAATGCCAATGCATAAGACATCTGACTTCAATGTTTGTGATGTGTTTATAATACTGCTGAAACATCTGTCAATTTACATTAATACGAGCGGAATTATATATTTGCAATATATCATAAATAAATACATAAATCAAACGGACATTGGGCCGGATATATCAACTGGAACAATCAGGTTTATCGACCCAGTTATGCTCTTAGTCATGGAAAGATCAGTAACATTTTCCATTGCAAATTAACTAACATACACAAGTATGTCCAACCATCAATTTGTCAGCCCTTCCACAAACCGAACAGCATCTCATACTCTCGAGTCCTTCAAATCAGCGAATCAGATGCATATTTGCGGATTATATCACCTTCCAACGCCGATGTTTAGAGCTGATTCCTATTTTGTTTTGCAGAGGATACAACTATACTATACTTCGACAGATTGGGAAAAGGCAAAGTTAGAATTTTGGTCAGTCCAAGTCAGACCTAAAACACAGGGGTTCATTCCAAATACGATCGACTTGCATCCACTCTGAAAAATCACTGGCGCATCATGGAGTCTTCCATAAAAAGGTGCAGTTTCTTATATTAGCACGTCGCAGATTCAAATGAATTTTAAGTGATCTCGTGCTAAGTAGCAACATGCACCTTTGCTGTAGAAAAATGTTCCTTCCAAAACAACAAATGTGTGCCAACTGTGACCATACACAGGATCCTCACGTACAGTGCAATGTAAAATGAGAGGCAAAGGGCACCACATAATACTGACACTAACACTACCACGCAGATGTAGTGTGAATG